CTAATCATTAAATTCTACCCCTGAAACCAATATTACACTCTATGTTAACGAATTAGAATTTAAATAAAAACTTTAAAAAAAGCTGATTTTCACACAAACATAATTTTCTATGCTCATTTATTATAACAAGGCTCCCGCTCTTGAGAATCAATACCTGAATCCAATAATGATAAATAAATGAGCCTAGAAAAGCAAATGACTCATGCAAGGTAACCCAGTGGCAGACGTTGGAGCCTCCTGACTTGAAACCCACTGCATGTTACCTATCTCTCAGGCCACCTTTTATTTCATAATGTAGTGTGCTCTTCACTGCTTAATTAACACTCTTCAAATACTACACCTGATGGACCTAGCATCCATCACACACCTTCAGGTAACAGAAACTTCAGTTTCATTTTAAGATGAGGCTCTGAAACTATGACTAAATAGTGTAATTCCCTACATTCTACAGTGTAAACAACAACAAAAAGCAATTTTCGGGGCACCTGGGGGGCTCAGTCATTAAGTATCTGCCTTCAGCTCAGGTCATGATCCCAGGGTCCTGGGATCGAGCCCCCAGTCGGGCTCCCTGCTCAGCGGGGAGTCTGCTTCTCCCTCTCCCACTCCCCCTGCTTGTGTTCCCTCTCTCTCTGTCAAATAAATAAATAAATAAAATCTTTAAAAAAAAAAAAGTGATTTTCTCTTACTTCAATTGTCCCTGCATTTTTCTTTACATGTGCTTTTTTTTTTTAAGATTTTATTTATTTATTTGACAGAGAGAGAGCACAGCAGGAAGAGCGGCAGGCAGAGGAAGAAGGAGAAGCAGGCTCCCCGCTGAGCAGAGAGACTGATGCAGGGCTTGATCCCAGGACCTTGGGACCATGACCTGAACCGAAGGCAGACTCTCAACTGACTGAGCCACCCAGGTGCCCCTTTACATGTGCTTTTAACAATAAACAGTGCTTTTTTTTTTTTAAAGGAAAGGAGAACTTCTGTGAAAGAAACAAGACAGAGACTCAATCACAATTCATAGTATAACAAAGAATGTCTTAAGCTGGCAAACCTTTGAGAAGCTTTTCCAGTAGTTCCTTGGAGTAGTTCAGCGCTCCGAGGTGAACAAGAACCTGAGGTAATCTATAGTCGGCAAACATGGTGATACTGGAGATGTCTTTAAAGCAGCCGTCTCCTTTCCCCTCTAACACACTCCACGTATCTGCCACGAGGATTTGGGCCCGTTTGTAAAAAGAAATTCTTTTCCCCTGATGAATGAAGAGAATATAAATGTTACCTGGGTATCCGATAGCTTTTATGTATGCTATAAAAAAAAGGGCACACATTGAAAACATTTCTCAAGGGTGCAATAATTTTAGTGTTGGTAAGAATTTATGGACCTTTTAGAGAAAAAAAAGGGACTCTAATAAATATTAAATTATCTCTTTCACTCCAAATTTACTTCCTATATTTCTCAAGGCACATAAAATACAACTGTGGTAATTGTGGTATTTAGTGTTCTTTTTCAATGACATTGCCTCATATATATATTTGTGTCACTATAACCCACCTGCTTATTCTTTTTAATGGCTAGACAGTATTTCTTTGGAAAGCTTCTTAAATTTTTCTGATTGCAACATAATTCGTGAAGAGTATAAAGAAGAAAACAAACATCCCTTTAAAAAAAAAAAAGATTTTATTTATTTATTTGACAGAGAGAGACACAGCGAGAGAGGGAACACAAGCAGAGGGAGGGGGAGAGGGAGAAGCAGCCTTCCCACGGAGCAGGGAACCTGACAGCCTGACACAGGGCTCAATCCCAGAATCGTGGGATCATGATCTGAGCCGAAGGCAGACGCTTAATGACTGAGCCACCCAGGCACCCCGAAACAAACATCCTTAAACTCATCTCTGAAGAGAATCACAACATTCAACTTTTAACTGTTGTCTTTCAGATAATATGATAAACGTATTTCAGAGATAAAGACATAACTGATCAACAGCCAGAATTTATCAAGTCTACCTTTTTGGAAATGGTCAAAATCAGTAATGTAAGCCCACAGAACAAAATAAACTCCCTATTATATTTATACAACAAAGAAACAAATTTAACCAAGCATTACAGGATAGTGGGTTATAATTTAACTCAAAAATTCTCTATAAAATTACAAACGCAGATCAGCATAAACTATGGAAAGACATGGATAATTACAATCTAATCATCCTAATCCTAATACCAAAGGTAAAAATCTCAAATCATCTTTTATAGCTGCTTGTCTGCTAAAGGAGAAAATCAATATTACTGAGTCCCAAAATTCATTCTATCCACTTTGGAGAATGTTTTAATAAGTAAATAACATAAGAAATTAAATCCTTCAAGGAAAGGCTCCATGTGAAAATTCCTTAAGATGATAACATAGATTCCTTTATTTACTAAAAACAAACTCCAGTGATACTCTGTCCTAATGAGAAATAACCTAATTTTGCCTAACCTTAAGGTATATCTATTGCAATCAATCCAGAACTACTTTTACTAAGTAAATTGCCTAAAACCACCTTTAAGAAATTCGGTGTCTTGTTTTCCAGAGCAAACACATATGCTCATTTTTTTACAGGATGTAAAGTCTATAAATGAGAGTGCTGGGGGTAACAAATCACCATTAAGTATCCCTAGGGGCGCCTGGGTGGCTCAGTCAGTTAAGTGTCTGACTTTGGCTCAGGTCATGATCTCAGGCTCTGTATTCAGCTTCAGCGGGGAGTCTGCTAGTCCCTCTACCCCTCCCCGCATTTGTGCTTGTGCACGCGTGCGTTCTTTTTGTCTCAAATAAATAAAACCTTAAAAAAAAAAAAAGTATCTCTACATCATTTGGGAATAGCCCATATTTCCAAACCTATCAAAATATGACAACCTGGCAATTGTTGGACTGGAAATTACATATGATAACTAGGTTTATATTTAAGTCTAGTGTATTAAAGAGTAAGACATAAAACTTAATATAAAAAAAAAATCTGTGCATCAAACACAATTATTACATCATGTTTACTGTAAGAGATAGAAGCTATTATCTCCTATTTTTAATAAGATCCATAGATCAAAGTGGAAAAATACAGGAACCAGACTTACGTAACAAAATCAGTGCTAGCATCTAACAAAACATAAATTGTCACATCATGACCACTGTTTCCATGGTAGCCAACTAGTATATCACAAAGATTAGATTATAATACCCTTGAAAAAAAAACCAAAAGATTCAAGTGAGGAGTCTAAAAATAAATTCAAGTCATCTATCAAACATTTTCTTAACAAGCTGATATGGTTTTAGTAATCAAATGATTTTAGTAATCAAATTCTTCACCTCTAAAATATTAACTGATATCACTGAAAATACCAGCAAATCCCAAAATAACAATTCCCTAAGTGTTCCATAATATTGCTTGGTGAATAAAATATTTTCAAAATAGTACCTTTATAAAACAATTATTATCACTGAAAAAAAAATCCATGACCATTGAGTTGATTCTCTTCAACAAATGTATCATGAACAAATTAGAAAGGTCAAGAATTACAAATGCTTGGGGTGCCTGGATGGCTCAGTTGTTAAGCGTCTACCTTTGGCTGAAGTCATGATCCCAGGGTCCTGGGATCGAGCCCCGCATTGAGCCCCACATCGAGCTCCCTGCTCCACGGGAAGTCTGCTTCTCCCTCTCCCTCTGCCTGCTTGTGTTCCCTCTCTCGCTGTGTTTCTCTGTCAAATAAATAAAATCTTTAAAAAAAAAAAAAAGGAATTACAAATGCTTAAGAGTAACATAAAATGTTAGTGATTAAAGTATCAAAAAAGACCACATTTTTAGGGGCACCTCGGTAGCTCAGTCCTTAAGCATCTGCCTTCGGCTCAGGTCATGATCCCAGGGTCCTAGGATCGAGCCCCGCATCGGGCTCCCTGCTCTGTGGAAAGCCTGCTTCTCCCTCTCCCACTCCCCCTGCTTGTGTTCCCTCTCTCGCTGTGTCTCTCTCTCTGTCAAATAAATAAATAAATAAATAAATAAATAAATAAATAAATAAATAAATAAATAAAATCTTTAAAAAAAAAAAAAAGACCACGTTTTTCATGCACTTTGTTAGTATGTCACAGTAAAGACAATAGCCTGAGGGAAGCTGATTTATTCATTAGGACTTTTACATTGTTACTATATGCTCTAAATCAGAGCTGCTTTGGAAATGTATCTGAATTTTAAAGCTTCCTGGCTGATTCTGGAGTACAACCAGGTTAGGAAATCACTGATCTAAAATCTGTCCAAATTAAAAGTTTATTAATTTGTTTATAATGTTTAAAAATGAGTGATAATCTAAGTAAATAAATATACATTAAAAACAATTATGACTATTTTATGCAACTTGTTAAATATTAAAAAATATAGCAACCAATACTATCACCATGTTAAGAAGGAGCTGGGAAAAGAGCATTCTCCTATGCTGCTGCTGATCATCTTCGTTATCATCTTTCTAGAGAACTGTTAGCATTTTTATGTATCACAAGCCTGAAAATCCAGGCCATGCTCTGACTCAGCAATTCCATTACTATGATTCCATGCATTCTAAGAAAATAATTACAAGTGTTAAACGATTGTGCAGTATTGCTTGTTATCACATAAAACTGAAAACAACATGACATAAAATTCAATTTAAAAAATAAAACTGTGTATCAAACACAATTGTTGGGCAAATAATTATGGGATTGTACATCCCTATAGTGGAATACTACTGTGAAGTCATTAAAAATGGTACTATGAAAACAACTGGGCTGTAACAGAATTATTATTATTGTTTAATGGGGCGCCTGGGTGGCTCAGTAGGTTAAGCATCTGACTCTTGGTTTTGGCTCAGGTCATGATCTTGGGATCCTGGAACTGAGCCCTGGGTAGGGCTCCCTACTCAGCAGGGAGTCTGCTTGTCTCCCTCTCTCTGCCCCTACCCTACCTTGTGCTCTCTCTCTCTAAATAAACAAATCTTAAAAAAACAAAAACAAAAACATACACTTGATTTTAACACTTTCTCAATTTCAAAAGCAGTCCTAAAAGGCTCAGAACTCCTCTAGATTTGGAGTTAGTTGCCCAAAGTACGTTATGTATATTTTATTTTTAAACAATCTCTACATCCAACATGGGGCTTGAATTTACAACCCCAAGATTATAAGTCGCATGCTCCACTGAATAAACCAGCCAGGCACTCCTTACTATTTACATATCTTTTATTTATTTATTTATTTATTTTTTAAAGATTTTATTATTTATTTGACAGAAGAGAGATAGCGAGAGCAGGAACACAAGTAGGGGGAGCGGGAGAGGGAGAAGCAGGCTTCCCGCAGAGTAGGGAGCCCGATGTGGGGCTCGATCCCAAGACCCTGGGATCATGACCTGAGCCAAAGGCAGACACCTAACGACTGAGCCACCCAGGCACCCCTATTTACATATCTTTTAAATGAATATGTGCTCTGTGCTATGTTAGGAATCATAGGAAATACGTTGCTTTTGGGTAACACTAATGATAATCTTTTGGAAAAAAATAAATGAAAAAATATAATACTCCTTTAAGAAAGTGTCAGAATCCTTAAGTATGATTTTTGTTACATTTTGGGGATTTTTCTTTAAGAATGTTTTTTAGAAAAGCGTACTGATGGGAAACGGTCCAGGTACTAATATTCATTTTAAAATATATCAGCCTTGGGGCGCCTGGGTGGCTCAGTCTTGATCCCAGGGTCCTGGGATCCAGCCCCGCATCGGGCTCCCTGCTCTGCGGGAAGCCTGCTTCTCCCTCTCCCACTCCCCCTGCTTGTGTTCCCTCTCTCGCTGTCTCTTTCTCTGTCAGATAAGTAAATAAAATCTTAAAAAAAAACAAAACAAAACAACTGTGCCAGGATATAGATTAATTTTAAGGCTGATTTATTTTATTTATTTATTTATTTATTTTTAAGGATTTTATTTATTTATTTGACGGAGAAAGAGACAGCGAGAGAGGGAACACAAGCAGGGGGAGTGGGAGAGGGAGAAGCAGGCTTCCCGCACAGCAGGGAGCCCGATGTAGGGCTCGACCCCAGGACCCTGGGATCAAGACCTGAGCCGAAGGCAGACGCTAACGACTGAGCCACCCAGGCACCCCTCCCGGCACAGTTTTTAAAAAATTGAACTTTTCAGCAAAGTAAATCAAAAGCACTGTGCTGTAATAAAATAGAAAATCAGTAAGTTGCTTACTAAATTGGTATTACCATCTACCAAAAAAGTTTACTCTTTCTTCCACAAAAACAAAAACTCAAGACTACTTCAAGACAAACAAACTACATGTCATGAATTTATTCCATCCTGAAGTCATCCTAAATTTACTCTTAGCCCTTCTTCTGCTACAACCAATGTTGATTCTGGAATACATGGATTCTTAGCCACATGAACGGCAGTTTCATTTTTTTATACACGAATACACTTAGATGGCCTGAATCATGAACCAAGGAACTTGATCCACAGTTTCTTTAAAAAAGGTTGAGACAAAGATAGGGTGCCTGCGTGGCTCAGTCGGTTAGGTGTCTGCCTTCGGTTCAGATAGGGTCCTGGGACACGCATCAGACTCCCTGCTCAGCTTCTCCCTCTGCCCCTCCCACTGCTCATGCTCTCAACTACCACCGTGTGTGTGTGTGTGTGTGTGTGTGTGTGTGTGTGTGTCTTGCTCTCTAATAAATAAAATCTTTATAAATAAAATCTTTAAAAAAAAAAGACAAAGATAAATCTCAAAGTAACCTCTGCATCAGCAAAACGGTTAGTCAGAACAAAATGAAATTTAGCAGTGGCCTAGGGTCTCTTTTCTAGGAACTGCCTCTGCCCCACCCACAGCCCCTTCAGCCACACTTCATTGATCATAATCCCTGCTGATTTGATCAGTATTTAGCCAGGAATTTTAGAACGGTACCTGAGAGGGTGTCTACCCCTCCCTCCCGCTCTCTCTCTGGTGGTTGAAGCAATAAGATGCAAAATTCATGAACATCTACTTCATGGAGAAAGCTAGTCTGCGAGAAATACAGAGCCAAGAGAATCAAAGAGTAGTGACTGAATCCTGATGGCACTGAGTCCTTGATCCTTGATGTTCCTATCCCCAAATTCTTCATTTTGCTTAAGGTTTTTTTAGTTTTGTGTCTGTCACTTGCAATTAAAAGAATCTTAACTGAGGCGCCTGGGTGGCTCAGATGGTTAAGCATCTGCCTTCGGCTCAGGTCATGATCTCCTGTTCCTGGGATCAAGCCCCACATCTGGCTCTGCTCAGTGGGAATCTGCTTCTCCCGCTGCCTCTCCCCCTTGCTCATGCTCGCTCTCTCAAAGGAATAAATAAAAATAAAATCTTTGAAAAATAAAAGAATCTTAACATAATCAGGCATCTCTCACTTTACAGAATTGAAAAGCTAGCTATTTATTTCCTGACTAAATGATGTAAGATAAACCAGTTAACCTTTCTCTTTAGACTTTGGTTCCTGGTCTACAAACAGGGCAATAATGATCCTTGTCCTTAGGCCCCACAGAGCTCTTCTATGGATCTAATGAGAGTGTACATGCAAACACCTTGTAAATCATAAAGAGCGACTTAAACAATATCATTGGGAATTTTTGTTAGTCGTTGAATTGTGATTTCAAAAGGGTAGCTTTAAAATTTCAATATGATTTAAGCATTCATGAACTTATTCAATAGATTTATATTATGTGATTCCTCTGAAGTTGCTTTCAATTCTTTGCCACAGTTAAAACACACAATGAGAGTGAATTCTAAAAGAATTTTACAAAAACACAACCCAGGTGTACAGTGGAAAGGTATACCAAATGTTTACCATTTTAAAAGTACATCTGTTTAAAGAAAAAGAAAATAACACTGTTCAAGTATTCCACGTGTGAAAAAGAAAACACAGTATATATATATATATATATGTTAGAGCCTCAAAAAATACTTTTTATTAGAGAGGATTTAGAAATACATTCTGATTTTCATCCAATGAAGTAAATTTTTTGAAGTTGTAAAAGGACCTCATTGTCCCTAAATAGCATCATATTGAAGGTTCAGTGTTTTGTAGCTTTGAAACATTTTAAAAGGACAAAGAATAAAAGAAAAATAAAGGAAATATATTAATTAGAAAACTAAGAAAAGTAATGTCTTTGAAACACTAACAATTTTGTTACTGTTCCTTGTCTACAAGGAAGGAACTTCAAAACTTAAGTTTTTAAATCTCAAAAGGAGTTCTGGAAGTAAAAAAGTTAACTGAGAAGATAATTAAGAATTCTAAAATCCCCAACAGAAGCAGCTCACCTCAAACTGAGTCACATCTCTGTAAGAAGGAAAGCTTTCAACTACCAGGTGCATTAACTTCTGTGCACTTTTTTCACTTTTTCGTACGCAATTCAGAAAAGAGCCTTCGAACTTCTCAAGCAGAATTTTCCCGGTTTCATTAAGAATCCGATGCCTCTCTTCGATCAAAGGCATGGGAACGTCCGTGTCAGAACGGAATATATACTGAACCTGATCCAGGGTCACTGTGGCATAGTAGGAAGCACTGGTTATAGGTATCCCTTAGGGAAAAAAGAAAATGCAGAGGAACAACGTCATACTTTTATATTCATCAGACCCTTGCTTTTACAACATACAATAATAAGAAAGGAAATGAGTGTTACAGAAATGCACTAAAAATGGGTGAAGAATTAAAAAATGAGAAGCATACCCTTCATTTTCTATTTTCTCGTCTGTACTTACTCATTCGTTTCTAGCAATTGTTATACTACACCAGATGTATTTTGACTGCATAAAATGTGTTATATCTGTCCCTTTGTTCTTCAGATGTCATCAAAGTGGCGTTCTTTAGAAAACTTGTATACTTAGCTATGATGGTAAACAGGATCATTTCTCACTAAGGACTTAATGCCAGCTTCTTCTCACACTTGTATTTTAAGCAGGTAAGAACTGCAATGAAGAACTTCAAAGTTCGCCTTATGAACACGTATGCCATTTCCCGACTCGTTCCTCGGGACCCTGCCGGTAAACCGAAACCTCACAGGCCGTTCGCTGGGTCTGACCAGGAGAAGGGGCACCAACCTTCGTCGAGGGCTCTGTTGACCGCGGCGCACAGGGACCAGTACCCGCTGTACGTTTTCCCCCTGTACCCCACTAGACATTTGTGCTCGTCGTGCTCCGACCAGAAGGAGAAGTTGAGCGTGTCTGTCACGAACACCCAGTTGACCGCGGCCTCGTCAGCCGCCCTGGGATTCAGCTCGTGAAGGGCCTTCCAGCCCCCCAGGTGCAGCTCGGGCCCCGAGACCTTGGCGAGCAGCAGCTCGGCCACCCTCCGCACGCCTCCGTCGTCGATGAACACATCCCGACTATTCTCTGCAATGACTTTTGCGGACTCCCTGGGAGTTAGGGGCCCGTCCATCCCGTCCTTCCCTTTGGGACTGGTGAACCGCGCTTTCACCCGCGGGCTGGCCAAACTCGCTTCCCTCCCTGGGCGGGGCAAGGGTGCGGGTCCCTCAGCAGCAGTCCCTCCTTACCCACCGTGGGCTCGCTGCCCTCACAGGGCCCCGCCCTCCCAGAACGGCTCTGAAAGCCAACAGCGCGGGCGACTTCCGGGTTCCCTCCCTTCACCGCGCAGGGCAGCTGAGCGGCGGACGCCGCGGGGCCGCGCGCCCGGCCTCGACCAGAGGCACTTCCGGGAGGACGGCCCCGCCCACTCTCGCCCGGGCGCGCGCCTGGGACCCGTTTCCGGTTCCGAAGGTCCGGAAACTGGCCGGAGGGTCCGGCACCCGCCGGTCCGCAGTTGCGCTCCCTCCCGCCCAGGCGTGCGGCTCAGCCATTTTGTGCACGTTTCCACCCTCCCTTCGGGCACGTGGTACTGCGGCTCGCCGCCGTGGCCCGAGTCGCGATGACTGCACGCGGTGTACGGCGTTGCTCTCCCTCGGCTCCCGCCCCTCCCCTCTACCCAGTGGGCGAAATGTGGGCAAGCTGCCCTTGGCGACGCTCCGCATCCGGGTTCTTGGGCCGCGACGAGCCTGGCGACGCCCATTCCGGTGCGGGGGGGCTAAATCGCCCCCAGGCTGTGACACGGATTGGCGGGTCCCCCACAACCCCATCTCCCAGGCAGGCCTCTTGTGCTAAATTACTGGCGCATTCGGAGGCCGTATGGACGTTTAAGATGAGCTGAGACGTTTGGAGAAATGGATGAGGAAACCAATGTATTGTTAAAATTAACATTGTGTGCCTGGAGTTGTGCTTTCGTTCTGAATCCCTATTGTCCTGGTCGTGGCAATAGCGGCGGTTGTACTCCTCGTTTTGCAAGAGAAGCTGTATGGTTCAGCGGTTAGGCCCTGGTCACAGCAGTGGCCTGGGTTGGGATTCAAACCCTCAAGTCTGGGGCACTTTCCATGAACCAAACCACCAATGCCAACCATTCTGGTCAGGTAGTGACTATATTAGTGGCTCTAATGAGGAGACATTATTAGAGGAAATAAGTATCACCTTACAGCCCCAAACTTTTTTTAAAAATATTTTTTAATGGGATGAGGAGAGGTACCCTAGTCAATTAGTGATGATCCAAATTTGCCTATTGATGAAATTTTAGTACAGAGATAATGTATTTGTGCTCTTCTTCAGACTTAAATCTCCATGGATAATATGAAATGTTCGTGCCTTTTTGAAAATCAACTATTAAAAATAACAGTAGTCATCTCTAGTTATTGACAGTAAAGAATCTTGGAATTAGAGAATTTTTGGAGGATTTAGAATTTTCAAGTTTGACAACTGTGCCCCCAGAGAAGCAGAACATCTTCATCTCTCCAGTTTCTTCATTTTGGTAAGAAAAAAACTTTTAAGGATTTCATTATGATTTGCTTTTACAGAAGAAGTCACTAGTACATTAATGCGTTGTTGAATAAATGTAAATCTGTTGACTTGGGATTTTTCTGTCTACCCCAGCAGCTCTAAGTCTTTGGAGTCAAATTGATTAGCAAAAGGGGCGCCTGGGTGACTCAGTCGGTTAAGCATCTGCTTTTGGCTCAGGTCATGATCTCGGGGTCCTGGGATCTCGAGCCCCCCATGGGGCTCCCTGCTCAGCAGGAAGTCTGCTTTCCCCTTGCCCTCTGCCCTTCTGCACCGTGTCCCCCCACCCTGCTCGTGCTCGCTGTCCTCTCAAATAAATAAAATCTTTAAAAAAATTGATTAGCAAGAAAATCTGGCAATCTACAAAAGAATTCAGGAGGTTATATAATTTAGGCCATTTTCTCTCACCGAGACTTATTGACAGAAATGAAAAACCAACAACTTACTGAGTTAGACACTAGGAGTAGTATAAATAAGAAAATAAGCTTCCTTCTTTCAACTTATTGTAGAGATAAAGCATAAATTTTGCGTGGTAGTTGGGTTTATTTTTTAAATATGTGTACAAGCTGTTAGGAATACAAAAAGGGAGTTCTTTACCTACTCAATATTCTTTCCCTCCTTCTTCCTTCCCGACAGAATCCTGATGTTGTTCAGGAATCCCTCTTACCCAGAACTGGTGTAGCTCAGCATCCTGATCTCCAAGAGTGGTCTGGACCGGTCTAAGGGTAATATCACCCTCTTGCAAGGGACTGGGTAAGGATCATGTATGTTCCCTAGTTCACCTCAGTGAATTGCAAAGATAGGTTTGTAGGATGCTTCCAGAAAAGCTTTTCCAGGAGAACTTCCAGAAGAGATTCACGCTCCCTCTGGACATGATTGAGCTTGGATATGAGGTGTGAAATTGTTACCATCCTTTTGATGGCAACCTGTGTATGAGGTCAACACATGGGGGAGGCCAAAAGAATAGTCGAGAAATGGAGCTGGAATAATGGGATTATGTCAGCTCTTAAGTCTCTCCCACTTTTGGATCTCATTATGTGAGTTAGTAAACTTCCTTAAAGTTTAAAGCAATTTTGAGTTGGGTTTTCTCTAACTTGCTATGAAAGTTTCCTGTCTTGCACAGGTGGCAGATACAGACATGGTCTCTGACATCTTATGATTAGTGAGGAAGGCAGACAGTCAAATGGGTAGTATTATACTTTAAGCAACAGAAAACTAGATTATAGTGACTAAATACAAAGGGGGTTGTTTTTCTCATATAATAAACCCATAGCAGATGTACCTGTTTGAAAATGTCAGCAAGGAACTAGGCTCCTTGCTTTCTGTGTCACTAGGGGTACCTAGTATATGACTTTTGTCTTTATGGTTGTAGGATGACTCTACCCTTATGGGCATTGTGTGCGCAGAAAGAAAGATGAAAATAAAAGGGGCAAAGAGCCAAAGGAACATGCCTGCTGAGTTTTTTTCTTTTGAAAATCTTTGCCAGAAGCTCTACCCTGCAGGCATAGGCTTTTGAAGAGAAGATCAAGATGACCTCTAAATAGTCCCTAAACTTGTATTTTCAGGGTTAACAAAGGGAGGAGGCATGATAAATGGTGTGTCCCTATCACCTTTCCCCCTCCTACACAGTATCCAAAGTAGATTATTCCAGTCAACAAGAAAGCCATCATTCTGAATAGCTAAATTAAATGTCAAGCATTGGCAACGATCACTGCTACATCTGCTATTTTCTGTCATGATAGGCTATGGCAGAAACTTAAAAGAAATAGTGGGTTAAGAGGTGTTGTTGAGGAAAAGTTGCAAAAGTTGGCAAGAGCAATGGATGGACAGTAGACATTGCTAGAGAGGAGGCTGTCATTCTTCATATATGCGGAAGGAGGAAAGCAGAGAAGTGAAATGGATTTTTGAAGATAGGACAGCTCAACTATTTTCATTTCCCCCTGGACTCTCCTAAAGTGATCAATAGACTAAAGCCCCAAGAAGTCTTAGCAGTAAAGAGATAACGGTTTGCTATTGTGTAGTAATTTTCCTCTGTTCCTTTTCTCCTTGATTTATTCATTTATAGCATTTAAAATTGACTACTTCCTTGAAATTCACTCTTCGCTTTTGGGCCATTATATTATCCTGGTTTTCTTAGTACCATTGGAAGCTCTTCTCTTCCTCCTCTCTTCTTATTGTGTGTAAAATGTTCCATCTACAGGCTTTGGCTTAGGGACAGAATGGACCCTTTCTGGTGAAAACTCTGGCTCTTAAATAATTTCTGTTTTAAAATATTTAGTTATAACGGAATAAATATATTATCTCCATTATATAGCATTAACATTACTACAGTTCAAAATCAATTAGAATTTTTGAACCATAGTTTGCCTTTAGTGAAATTAATATTTCCTACTTAGGAGAAAGAACTAAATTACATCATAAAAAACAGTGCAGAGCTTCCAGTTTGATGAACCCTTAGAGATTTGGGGAGAATGACATGCTCAGGGGGCATGGAAGTTCCATGCCCCTTCCCAGGTAACTTGCCCTATACATCTCTCTATCTGGTTGGTTCCTGAGTTATATCCTTTTATAATAAACCAATAATCTGCTTGTTTTCCTTGCTATCTAAAAAAAACAACAGAGTTGTGGAACGAACTACACAGTCCTTGAGAGGTTTTCTGAGTTCCATTAATATTCCTTTATAGGTTATGCATTTAAGTAAATGTCATTGAAGAGGTGATTTGAACGACGTTGAAAATCATCAGTTCCAGGGTGCCTGGGTGGCTCAGTTGGTTAAGCGACTGCCTTCGGCTCAGGTCATGATCCTGGAGTCCCGGGATCGAGTCCCGCATCAGGCTCCCTGCTCAGCAAGGAGTCTGCTTCTCCCTCTGACCCTCCCCCCTCTCATGTGCTCTTTCTCTCTCTCATTCAGTCTCTCAAATAAATAAATAAAATCTTTAAAAAAAAAAAAAGAAAATCATCAGTTCCTGCCTGACAGATTCTCTTCCCCACAATCTAAACTTGGTGCGTGCACTGCTTTACAAATGAGATCTCTTTGAACAATCTTGACCTCACCACTTCAGGATATAATGCAAAATACTGATCTGGTAACCACCTTCTTTCGCTCAAGGTTGCTAGAAGCTGAAGCTGAGCTGTTAGTGGAATGGGTCCTGGAAATTATCAAGCAAGGGGTTGTTGCACAAACAGGCTGAAGAAGTTTCCAAAACTGAAATTCAAGGAGCAGCAGGCCTTCTAGTTATTGTACTTCTGGCAAAGAGAAGTAGACAGATTGCCTGGTGTATCTTCTATTAAAGAGGATCACACAAGTGTACTTCTCTTACACACTTTGATTTGGAGAATTGGTGCCAGTTGGCAATAGATCACTCAGCTAGACTGTAGTGCAAAAACTGAGGGAGGGGGACACAACAATCATAAATGTAAAAACCTGCTTTTATTTTTTTTATTTATTTATTTAATTTTTTTATGAAAAAACCTGCTTTAAAAAAAGTACAGGGGTGCCTGACTGGCTCAGTCAGTAGAGCACTTGACTCTTGATCTCAGGGTTGTGAGTTCAAGCTCCACGTTGGGTGTAGAGATTACTTTAAAAATAAAATCTTTTTTTTTTTTTAAGATTGTATTTATTCATTTGACAGAGATAGATACAGCAAGAGAGGGAACACAAGCAGGGGGAGTGGCAGAGGGAGAAGCAGGCTTCCTGCAGAGCGAGGAGCCCGATGCGGAGCTTGATCCCAGGGTCCTTGGGTTGAGTCCTGCATCTCCCACATCGCCTGCTTCTCCCTCTCCCTCTGCCTACTTGTGCTCTGTCAAATAAATTTTAAAAATATTTTTTAAAAAGTACAAAAAGTAAACAGATACAAAGGAATATTTCTTTTGAAAAGGGGCAGGGATTTATCTGAGGCAGAGATTAAGTGCTGATGTTTTATCTATGAGGTGCCTTCTGAGGACATCAACAGTGAAGGAAAGGAAAAAAGGTTCAGATGGAAAGTAATACAAGGGGACGTGATACTGTGTTAGCCGCTGCTTCGTGGTGAGCCTCAAAGAGACACAGCTAGTCACAGTGGAGGAGTGTTGTCACAGTTCCATTACACTGGACAGACTATATGGAGAAACTGCCTCAGAGCAGTTTGAGAGGAAATTCTCCTTTCTCTTTCTGTCTCTGTCTCTTTTTAGATATTTTAGGATTTTAATGTCCTTCACATACTCAACATAAAACACTGACAGTGGATAAACAGTAGGGGAAAAGAATCTTCAGCAAAGATCTTCCAGAACTCATAGTATCATTCTGGTCAAACACTATAAAGAGAACCGTCAAATCAACAAAGGATAAGGAAGTTTGACAGAGAATTTTATTTCAATGGCTTAATTAAAAAATAAAGAACCAAACATACAGCCTTCTCTCTTCTACCCATTGGAAGGAAAGCAAAAGTGAATCAGAGAACTTTATCTTTTTTGTTAAGCAGCTTAAAAGGTGGGGTGGAGGTGGGATGGGGACCACAACTGTTGCTAATGTAATGTTATAATGCACAAAGTCAAGGATTCTGAGCACTGTATTACTAGAAATATAAATGCATAAAGATATAAACTATTTGGTATTAAAAACAGACCTTGCTATATAAACACATAGTATGTCACTTATATCTCTTTATGAAAATAACAGGATAAAGAAAGATCCCCAGTTTGCCCTTTAGCCTGGAACCCCTAAACACTCACCACACAGGCAGTGTGGACCTGAATTAACAGGTGCAGAACCCAGGAGACTCCACTGCTGTCATTTTGGAAAGGATCAAGATTCAGCACCCAGAGGACCCCATTCACCCTCCATGCTGTGTGTTTGTGTGTCTCCAGAAGCAATTAGCTACAATTTGCATAATTAAGTCCACAGACAAGTTTGAATACTGAGATCTACCTAGAAAAAGTAGCATCAAAGACAACATTAAAAAAAAGGAAAGACAATGTAAGCTAGATTTGTTATAAAAGCAAAAGGAAGATTTTTTTTAAATGTTTCCAGTTCAAGTCAGAATTAAGGTGTCTGTTGGGGTGCCTGGTTGGCTCAGAACATGTGACTCTTTTTTTGCGGGGGAGGGACAGAGGTTGAGGGAGAAGGAGGCTCCCCACTGAGCAGGGAGCCTGATGTGGGGCTCTACCCCAGGGCCCCGGGATCATGACCTGAGCCGAAGGCAGACGCCCAACCAACTGAGCCACCCAGGCACCCTGAACATGTGACTCTTGATCCCGGGGTTGTGAACTTGAGCCCC